GAAAGATCGCCATTCTCTCGCTGCCTGTAATTCCGCCTTTCAAAGAAATAACATAAATCTTTTTTTTTTTAATCATGTTTTAATGAGGAACAATATTTCCCCGATGTCTTCTGTGGTGTATTGAGTCCATAGGATGTTGATGGTCAGCATTAGAGCAAAAAAAAAAAAAAAAAGCCAGTGTGCTACAGGTATTGCTAGTTCTTTATTTTCCTTGATGCCACATGTGATTTTCTAAAGACACTGTAATACCTGCTGTTTCCCAAATGACAATAATGACACCTTAAAAATAATAGGGATTATCTCCTCAAACCTGGATGATCCACTTACACCAAACACTAATTTTTTTGGTAGCCTTGGAGAATATGTAAGCAAATCCATTAAAATCCATGCAAAAATGTTCTCTATGCATGGTCACACATAAAATGCCACTTTTTAAAAACTGTCAAAACGAGTGCCTTTTCTCCAGGATTTATCATGTAGGGCAGTCGGCAGTGGCTTCCGCGAGTTTAGCTTTGCATGCCTTGAGCATCCTTGGAAAGTCAAGTGTGAGTCCAGCTGCTGCAGGCGGCACCAGGGAATCTTCGCATTTTGGAGAGAGTGATGTTACGTAACTTTAAGGAAAACAGTGTGGGTGGCTTAGATGTTAGTCTTGAATTGTGTCATACAGAGAGTGAAGACTGTTTCAGTGCAGTGAAGCAACTTGCCTGTCCCCGGTGCTGTGGGGTAACTTCGGAGACAGAAGACAACGGTCTTGGGGGGGAGCAAGTGACCTCTTGTTTCAGCAGTATGTTAGGATCACTGCATTGTCCAATTATGTCCTCATCAGAAGTTTTTTCTTTTAGAAACCACTAAATGGTCATATCTATCTGTCTATAAACAAAATAGATATATTACAAGCTATATGTGCATTAAGAGCTGGAGCTGCTAAAATCACTATTGACTTAAGGCAGTAATAAACAGTATACTTTTTTCCATTAAGGAAATGTAATTTAGTGGAGAATGTTTTTGAAGTGGTGTTTAAGAAGCACAATCCTAATGGACACACTATGAGCCACTTCCCATGTTTGTATTTGCTGCTTTTTTTTAAAAGATTTATTTATTTATTTGAAAGTCAGAGTTACACAGAGAGTGAAGGTGAAGCAGAGAAAGAGAGAAATCTCTTCCATCTGCTGGTTCACTCCCCAAGTGGCCACAACGGCCGGAGCTGCGCCGATCCGAAGCCAGGAGCCAGGAGCTTCCAGGTCTACCACGCAGGTTCAGGGGCCCAAGGACTTGGGCCATCTTCTACTGCTTTCCCAGGCCATAGCAGAGAGCTGGATCGGATGTAGGGCAGCCGGGACTTGAACCGACGCCCATATGGGTTGCCGGCACTGCAGGCAGCAGCTTTACCCGCTGCACCACAGGGCCGGCTCCTGTATTTGCTTTTACTACATGCCATTTTGGGTTCCTGGCTGTTTTATTCTATCACAAAAACAGCAGCAACACATACAAAGAAGCTCGATGACTGTGGAACTTCTTTTTCTCCTTCATAAAAGAGGAAAAAGTGAATCTGTCCCCAAGTGTACGGGTTTAATGGAAATAAGATGGCTCCAGAGGAGCCTGTGACTAAATGGAAGTTACCTTAATTTACCAAGTGTGTTAAGTCCATGCATGATAGCAGTCACATTTTTTATAGTATTGGACTTGCAAGGTTTATGGCACTGTCTTTAATAAATTTATTAGGAATTTTTATTTTATCAGAATAATTTTTTTTAAGATTTTATTTATTTGAGAGGTAGAGTTATAGACAGTGAAAGAGAGACAGAGAGAAAGGTCTTCTGTCCGTTGGTTCATTTCTCAAATGGCTGCAACGGCCAGATCTGCGCCAATCCGAAGCCAGGAGCCAGGAGCTTCTTCCAGGTCTCCTACGTGGGTGCAGGGGCCCAAGGACTTGGGCCATCTTCTACTGCTTTCCCAGGCCACAGCAGAGAGCTAGACGGGAAGAAGAGCAGCCAGGACTAGAACCAGCACCCATATGGGATGCTGGCACCGCAGGCAGAGGATTAACCTACTGCGCCACGGAGCCAGCCCCCCATCAGAATAATTTTTTAAAGATGTATTTATTTATTTGAAAGGTAGAGTTACATAGAGGCAGAGAGAGACAGATAACTTCCATCAGCTGATTTACTCTCCAAATGGGCACAGTGGCTGAAAGCTGGGCCAGTCTGGGCATTCCCAGGCCATAGTAGAGAGCTGGATCAGAAGTGGAGCATCCGGGACTCAAACTGGCGCCCATGTGGGATGCTGGCACTGCAGGCAGCAGCTTTACCCTCTACGCCACAGCACTGGCCCCCTTTTTCAGAGTAATTTCCCAGAGTAAGTCACAAAAGGGGAAAATGTTAAGTTTAGGAGTAGATTTTTTTTAAGATTTATTTATTATTTATTTGAAAGGCTGAGTTAGGGTGTGTCGGGAAGGGAGAGACAGAGTGAGAGAGATCTTCTGTCCACTGGTTCACTTCCTAGATGGCTACAACAGCTAGGGCTGGGCCAGGGCCAAAGCCAGGAGCCAGGAGTTTCTTCCCAGTCTCCCACATGGGGGCAGGGGCTCAAGGACTTGAGCCATTCTCTGCTGCTTTCTCAGGCACATTAGCAGGGAGCTGGATCTGAAGTGGAGCAGCCAGAACTTGAACCAGTGTCCATATGTGATGCCAGTGCCACAGGCAGCAGCTTTCCCTGCTATGCCACAATGCCAGCCCCCTAGGAGTAGATACTCAACTATAGAAATTGTAATATTTGGAAGTAAAAACTGTGAGGAAAAATTGAACCTGCCCATAATTAAACAGTAGTTTGGATCAGGGAAGTGTGTGTATAGCTGTTGGTATTCTGATGTTTGAGTTGCCATATTTAAATGAGTTAAAGCTGTCTTTAGTTTCTTTGAAAATTTAGTGTAGATTCAAAGAATTACCAAATGTTGTGGGACTTACAGGACCCTGAAGTGCTGGGTGGCTGGGTGAGGCTTCTGGGCACTACACACATGGCAGGGGTGATTCACAAAGAGGGAGAGCTAGAGGCAACCCTGGTTTTCTGTTTTTAAAGATTTATTTATTTATTTGAAAGGCAGAGTTAGAGAGAGAGAGATCTTCCATCCTCTGGTTCATTCCCCAAAGGGCTGAAACTGCCAGAGCTGGGCCAATCAGAAGCAAGGAGCCTGGAGCTTCTTCCAGGTCTCCCACGTGCGTGCAGCCACCCAAGCACTTGGGCTATATTCTGCTGCCTTCCCAGGCGCATTTAGCAGGGAGCTGGATTGGAAGTGAAGCAGCTGGGACTTGAACCTGCGCCTGTATAGGATGCCGGTGCTTCAGGCAGCAGCCCTACCGACTATGCCACAGCACCAGCTGCAGCCCTGTGTTTTTGTAATTGGGCTGCCCACTCTTGAATCATCTCTTTGAAGAGGATGTTTACTCCGTTTTTGAGAAATGAAAAACTATAATATCAATATCATTTTATTGGTTGTTTCTTAGTGTTTGTGCGGCATAACTTTTCAGGAAACTTACTTCAAGTTTGTTTATGGCCATTTTGTTCAGTTCTTGAAACATCAGGCGAGAGTCTTGTGCATCAGCAAATGTGACATGGCTGAAACTAAAGGAAATTTTCTCCTTTGGCTTGAAAATTCCTTTGACTACTGAAGGCTTTTTTTGGTCTTGTTTCTAAAACTTAAATTAGTTGTAAGACTGCATGGAGGAAACTAGGTTCACTGATCCAAACTTAATTATAATATTTGTTAGTCTGACTTTTTTATCATTGAAGCACACTATAATTTAACAATGTGTTTCCCCTCCCCCAAAAAAGAAATGTTAAGATATCAGTGTTGGCCGGCGCCGCGGCTCAATAGGCTAATCCTCCACCTAGTGGCGCTGGCACACCGGGTTCTAGTCCCAGTCGGGGCGCTGGATTCTTTCCCGGTTGCCCCTCTTCCAGGCCAGCTCTCTGCTGTGGCCAGGGAGTGCAGTGGAGGATGGCCCAAGTGCTTGGACCCTGCACCCCATGGGAGACCAGGAGAAGCACCTGGCTCCTGCCTTCGGATCAGCGTGGTGCGCCAGCCGCAGCGCGCCAGCCATGGCGGCCATTGGAGGGTGAACCAACGGCAAAAGGAGGACCTTTCTCTCTGTCTCTCTCTCTCACTGTCCACTCTGCCTGTCAAAAAAAAAAAAAAAAGATATCAGTGTTAACATTGTAGAATGATTAAATCAAGCTAGCATAGCTGTTGCCTTAATGACTAATGTTTTTTGTGTGCTGAAAACATTTAAGATAAACTCTTAGCAATTTGGAGATATAAAATGATTTATTATGGTTATCATTCTGCACAATAGATCACTAATACATCAAGACACTGCGTTGTACCCCACAGAGTTACTGTTTGTCAATTAAAAAAAAAAATTCCAGTCTTGATTAACAAGGCATTTGAAATTTTGAAACGAACTTACAGCCTTTCTAGGGAAACAATTGACTCACCAGGATGAAGAGGGCTTTCTTAGGAAGTAAATTCTCTAGTATTCTATCGTACTTACTTCATAGCCTTGGCTATGACACCTTAAATTCCAGGAAAATCTTCCATTTCAGAGTCTAGTACCTCCAAAGACTACTCAGTCTGTCTCTGATAGTTCTTGAACTGTGAGCTAAGAAAAAGCATGCTTTTCCAGAGCTGCAGGTTTTAAAGCTGTCTCTGTCAGTGAGCTCTGTGTGGGTTCTTAACCAAGGAGATTCGCCAAGCAGCCATTCTCGTGGTCCAGTCTTTACTGCTGTAGATTTTCTCCTCCTGTAAGCAAGTGTTCCTCTCTTGAGCGTTCACATTCACAGGAAAGCATTGAATCCCACTGGGATCTTTCCATGTGATAATAAGGAATGTTTGGCACTGACCATGGTGTTCCTGATTTGTGATGAAGCTGAGGGATTGTGGAAGACATACAGGTTACTTCTTTACTTATTGACACTGACTTAATCTCTTTCTCTATTTCTTCTAGGCTGTTCGATGTATGCACAGTGTCCCGGACAGACAGAGAGACAAAGCTAACACTAGTGTTTGAACATGTTGATCAAGACTTGACCACTTACCTGGATAAAGTTCCGGAGCCTGGAGTGCCCACTGAAACTATAAAGGTACCAAGAATCATCCTTCTGCCTGGTCAGACAGTGTACTATTTTATTAGTTTATTGGGCAGTGACATTCTATACTTAATAAAATTGCCAGAATTAGGACTTTAAGTACTCAATATATAGTTTAAAATATCAACTGAGTAAAATATTCATAGAATGCAATGCATTCTAATTCAAAAGTTTTAAGGTGAAATGAAACACCTTTTTGTTCTAATGCCTACTTAAATATCTGTGTGTTATCTGGCCCTAACTTTTTAAGCGTAGCTCAGTCTTTTGCTGATGGTTCATGGTCTCTGAGGGAGACCATATTTGAAGCATTCAGGAGCATATTTTACTTTCTAGTTGTATACTGACTTCAGGACATACCTATGCTATATAAGTCTGAAATACTGGTTATTTGGCCCATCTTTCTCCATTATTGTGTGTGTGTGTGTGTGTATCAAAAGTTTATAGAAAGCCTAAATGTCAAACTCAGATTGATTTGTACACATTGGTACTCAGTAAGTAAAACACATTGCCAAGCTTTCTTCAGATATAATTATTTCAAAATTATTTTTAAATGGTTTACAACAGTTTAAACATAGACTTTTCAAAATGATCACCAACTTGTTCTGAGACAGTTCTAAGTTTTTTAGGGGTATCTCTTTAAAATAGATTGAGAAGATGAATTGGTCTGTATTTTGTGTTGTTTTGTTACTGTAACAAAGTATCTGAGGCAACCTGCTTTAGAAAGAAAACACGGCTGGGGATTCCAAAGCATGGCACTGGCATCAGGTCCGTTCTGGAGAGGACCTCATGGCAGATGATGGGCGTGCAAGGGAGAGGGAGAAATGCATCACCCAACAGGAAGCCAGGAGAGCCACTCAGGGGTCAGCTCAGGCTTTCTTCACACTCCTTGACTCAGGAGCCCCACAAGAGATTTTAAATCCCTTCCTAGGGGAGCTCCCTGGTGACTTAAGGACCACCTGCTGGGCCCCACCTTGTAATCCTTGGGGGACACACTCAGATCACAATCCACAGCACAGGTAGCTTTGTATTTGTCCAACACAGGGCAATGTGCAGGTCTTTCGAGCTGCATATTAAATTCTTTTAGAATATTCCAGGGTGCTGAGTGAAATCATTTGCGAAATACCTGTGCAGTTGATGGGGCAGGCATTTCCTGACTCTATTTTCCTGAGAATGCAGACCCTGGGAGGGCAACAGATGAAGGTTTATCCAAGTGGAAGACCTGGATTGAGTTTCTCCTGGCTTCAGCTTGGCCCAGCCCCAGCCATTGTGGGCATGTGGGGAATGAACAGATGGGAGCTTTCTCTGCCTGTCTCTGTCTCTCTTTTTCTCAAGTTTTAAAAAGATTTGAGGAGTCAGAGTGATGAGCTCGGCTAAGGCTTGGTGAGGCAGAAGTAGAAATGAAGCAGAATGAGGAGAATTTCAAGACGGGAGAAGCACAGGTAGAGAGTGGTTCTCGACGTTAGCTGAAGGGCAGCTGAGGGGCAGTGGCCAAGCCCATACTGGGGGCCAGGGGCTGTTGGTAGGAGCTTACTACCAGAAGCTTTTTGTGTGAGGTGACATGTAGGGTTCTGGGTTCTTCTATGTTTTTCGTCTGTTTCCGGGGAAAGGAAATGTCACTTCATTCTGGGCTGAACAGGAGATTGCTCTGAATGCTGTTAAATTTCTTCAGCCGTCAGGGTCAGTGCCCCTTACTGATTGGCTGGTAGGAGTTGGCAGATGGGGGCAAGGGGTTCTGGTTATTTAAGGTTTTTTATTAATGGCACATTGATATTTTCACAATAAAATATAACCATGGTCATATGAAGAATTTCAGGCAATTAATTTATATGTTATGGTTAATGGAACTTTTTTTTCTAAATTAAAGAGTTATCAGAAGACCCTTCATTTCCTTCATTTTTTTCATTTTCTGAACTATACTAATCTACTTTCTTTCCGCACTAAATATAAGATTTTTTTGTGTGACGCTTTAATGTCATTGTTGAAAACATAAATAATCCTCAAAAGCTTCATAAAACCATCAAACAGATAGTTTCAGACTGAACATGTAATTGATGTAAATTTATTTTTAAAATACACTTGCATTTTTTTTCTATCTGTGATTGACTTATTTTGAATAGGTAAACATTTACTCAGTGGGAGCTTCTGGCCAGTTGCATTCTGGTTGAGGTTTCCAAGCACACAGCTAGAGAACAGGAATATTTTGTAGTATTGGCTCACTTATGAGAAGGCTTAATAACTAGATCAAGCAAATATTGTTAGGATAAACAACCTGTTAGGAACACAAAATGGACTCTTATATAGAATGTTTTGTTGTAGTAAGGGTTTTTCTGAATGTACTTGTGCAAGCTTCTGTTGAATATTTATTTTGTTCAGGAAGGGTTCTGTGCCAAGCACTCTGGGGACACAAAACTGAATTAGGCATGAACCTGCACTTAGGGACTTTAAAGCAAAAATGAAGATCAAATGCACGCAGATACAGGTGGTCACCATTCTGTATGATTATTTAGTTTACAGGGTATTTTCAAGTGAAAATAAAACTGTTTACAAATAAACACAACTTATTTTTGATTCTTTGCAGTATGGTACCAAAATACTCCCTAAAGTATTTTTCAAAAGATCAAAATCATAGACTCAGTATTGACACTATCTAGCATAAATTGGGACACGTCATACTATAAAAATAATTATAAATATGCAAAATAATTTACCATGAAATAGATGCAAAACAGGAAATCAAGGTATAACATTGTGTGAGATGATTCAGGATAAGGGGATTTTCTTTCACCAGCTGGCTTGTACTGTGTTTTCTGTGGCACTGATATCCTAGTGGACATTCAGGTCGTAAATTGTATTAGGTAGCAGAAGTAGAATAAAACTGGGATGTTCCAAGTTGTCTTACTAAATATTACAGGAGTAAAATCTTTTGGCCTCCTGGGTTTATCTTCCCAGCTTACAAATATCCTGCAACAATCTTTCAAGTACCTTTAAATACTATTTGTTATCAAAAGATTAAAAAAGACAAAAATCACAGATGAAGCCATACATATTTGTGGAAGTTGATGGTCAGGTGAACTCAACAAGGGAACCAGCTACTACTTCATGGTCCTCTTGTCAGACCCTTGATAAAGTATGTTAAGAGGATAGGCCTGATCTGAAGCTCATAAATATAAAGTAAAATCGCATTTAAATACTTTTTAAGATTTATTTACTTATTTGAAAGTCAGAATTACAGAGAGAGAGGCCAAGAGACAGAGATCTTCCATCCGCTGATTCACTTTCCAAATGGCTGCAGCAGCTGGTGTTGGGACAGGCCAAATCCAGGAGCCAGGAACTTCATCCGGGTCTCTCACATGGGTGCAGGGGCCCAAGAACTTGAGCTATCTTCTGTTACTTTCCCAGGCGCTTGTAATACTCTATCCTATACAGGCTTTCAAAGTATAATGCATCCCAGTGAACCATTCATTTGGTATTTGGGTTCTCCTGCATAATGTATCACCTTTCCTAGGAAATTGGCTCCATTATCTTATAAGCTGTCTGAGAACCTAGCGTCGTACCTTGTTCATTCTCTGCATTTGACAAAGTTGGCAGTACAATTTCACCAGTTCAGGCACTGGAAGTTCATGTGAAAGACCAGCAGCCTTTCTAACATAGGGCAGGGCTCTTTTAACTCCAGACCATATGGCCTCTCTTGATGATTTCATCTTGGAATAAAAATTCGATTTTATTTATGAATCTCTATGATAAATGAATTCTACAGAGTTTGAGAGGACCAGAAAAGCTCCAGGTTTATGTGTCCATGTGGGTCAATTTCTTTGTGAATTAGATAAAACTTCATTTTATGTTCAATTGAATGTTTCTTGGAGATTTCCATTGGTTGTAATAGTTTCAGTAAGAGATAAGATGTACTATTAGGTTTGTTTTACAAAATCCAGACTTCCAAGACTGACACACACACTCATTAGCACCTGGTTCCTGCCTCTGTATCTGTTTCATGAACAGTATCTGCTGTAGTCAGCAGTGGCTCTGAGGTCAGCGTGGGATGCCCAGGGCTGAGTCATCTTTCTGCATCAGACATTTTGCAAAGTGACTGACTGGTCCCCTGGACCACAGATGAGGAAAGTCTCCCAGATCATCCTCTCTCACTGCTAAAGGAATCACGCCATGCCCCCTCTCGGCTCCTGGTGGTCTCCACTTTGCCTGAATTATGAGCAGGTGATTTGTCTCATCTTTGCAGGACACAGAGCAAATTAACATGAAAATATCGCTTCTCAGAAAGCAAGGCAGGCTTGAATGCCCTGTCACTGCTGGTCATTAGCCATCTGCCACCAGACACTCATACTCTGTTTATCACATTTGAAATTCAGAGCAGATGTTGCATAATAAGGTGATCCCAAAAACAAGAAGAAACTCCAAGAGCAGATACTCCACAATCATGATATGCATCCTGGGAAGAAATTTTTTTCAAACTAATATAGCTGGGTGAATTGAATGGACTGTGTTTTTAAAAACACAACACACACACACACACACACACACGAACATCCTCTGGTGTTTATTACAAACTGCCTTTTAGGAAATAATTTTAAAAGAAAATGCACATATGGAAGAAACCTGGGAGGACTGTTTAATAGAATTTCTTTTAATAAGCCACGTGAGCTGTTGTCATAATCCCAAGTTCTGATGTCAGGGACCTCCTAGGTGAGTCGAGCCAGCCTTGACTTTTACTGTGAGGTGGTCCTCAACTTAACAGTGATTTAGCAGAATTCAAATAGTTCCCTCCTGTAGTACAGTTAGATCTCTCTAGACACTTGAGTTTCCAGCCTGGTTTCTCCATTTTTTCTTCCTTGGTACCCAAATCCTGTTTTCCCTATGCCTTTTCCTTCAGTGTCTCCATTTGGGGTCCCTTGACTATGCATGGCTCTGCCCCAGCTTCTACCTAAGACCCTGGTTTCAGGCTGTCTTCACCCTGAATCCCAAGATTCTTTTAGCTCTTC